GTGAATTCCCCCCAGGCCTGGGGGATCCTGGTTCTTCTGCTTCCAAATTGGACATTGTTTACATTCATACAGCCCCAAACTCTCCTTCCTGAAGCACACCAGCCCAGTGGGAGGGAGCATCCCAAGCCCAGCCCCCTGTGGGCCCAGAGCCTTCCCATTCCAAACACAGACCCCTGCCCAGCTCAGTGCCCAGACACAGCCCCTGTGTCCTGGGAAGACCCTACAATAATAGACCTGTGTGAATAGCTGCACTGCTTTTCAGGAGCAATAATAGACCTGTGTGAATAGCTGCACTGCTTCAGGAGAGTGTTTCTCAACCAGTGGTATGAGTACCCTTAGGGGTACTCGAGAGAAGTCTGGGGGATACGCCAACACAATTGAAATTTGTAGAAAACTGAATTTTTGTTTTGAGTTTTACAGAGCTTTGTTATTTTTGTACTTTTTACACCCAAAAATTCCATCGCCCTCCCGCCCACATAAGTTGTTTGAAAAAATGTGTTGGCAGTGCCCAGACACAGCCTGTCTGAAAACTGTAGGTACTGGGGGTACTTTTTTTTTTTTTTTAAAGGGGGTACTTTTTTTAAAAAAAAATCAAGGTTGAGAAACACTGCTTTAGGAGACTGCAGTAACAAACCAGCCCACACAGCCCCAGCACACCCCAGAGACCCTACAATAACACATCTGCCAGTGCAATACGGAATGGGATCTGGAGAGGGAAATGGCTCTGCCTTGCTGAGGTTCAGCATCAATGGAAAAAACAAATTTCCCCAGCAGGCAGAGCCAGGGACAGACAGGGACTGTCCAGTTCTAGGGGTGGGGAGGGGCAGGGAGCACCTGCTAGGCCTAGTGTACACATAGGGACTGACTGGGAAACGCTTGGGAAAGAGCAGAGCAGGGCAGCAGCTGTATAGGAAGAAGGGCTGGGGAGTAGTGTGTAAGGGTAAGTAAGGTGCAGGGGATCTTTTATACAGGTTGTTCACCCATAGCTGAGATGCAGATGCCAGTGAGGTGGGCTACAGAGCTACTTATGCTGAGATCCCTTGCTCAACACTGAGACGCAGCCTCCTCTGGGGTGGTGCGCAAGAGTTGTACATACAAAGACGCTGGTGGGAAAGGGACAGGGCTTGTAGTTGTACTCCCTGGATGTGTCTGGGATGTCTTCCTGGCCCTGGTAACAAGGCAAAGGGATGGGAAGCTGGGTCGAGGGGGCAGGGCTCCCCCATGGGGATCAGGTGCCTTTCCCATCTGGGCCCACAACTGAGAAATCAAATAGACACCACAGACACATACCATAGACACAAACTGTATTTACAAGCAATACAATACACATCAACACCCAACAGAATATATACTGTTCTTACACACGTGTGCCCCATACACACACGTGCCCCATACACACACATCACTTACCTCCTGAGTGCCCATGCACGCTATTCATGCGTTCGGAGAACCCAACACACCCCACTCTCATGCTCTGACCACACACGTGCACCCATATACCAGACTCACACACTCTGAACATGCACACACATACACAGTACACATGTATGCCCATTGTTCACACATTCACAAAGCACTCATACATAACACATACCCACCTCAAACCTCCCACATGAACACACGTGTGCACAACTTCTACAGACTCACCTTCATGCACTGCCACCACAACACAACACACTCACACTACACTGATGCACCAAAGCCCCCCCACACCCAACAATCCCTCTAGGAATCACATTTACTGCTCCCTCTCACTCCCTGTGCAACTCCCTCCCCCCACTTACTGCATGGGGATAGATAAGGGAACCACCCCATTCCCACACTGCCCCCAGCAAGATCTCTTAGACAAGCATTAAATAATCAAATAGAGCAGCGGTTTTCAAACTACGGGTCATGACCCAGAACTGGGTCGTGGAATGTCAGGCACTGGGTCTCATTGCTGCAGGGGGATCAGGTGACCAGAGGAGATGCTAAGGCAGCTACTGCCTGTCCTGGCACCACAGACTGCACTGTACCCTAGAAGCAGCCAGCAGCTGACCCAGCTCCTGGAGGGTGGGGGGGGTAGAGAGAGCACAGGGCTCTAAACACAGCCCCTGTCCTGAGCGCTAGCGCCACACCCTCCCATTGGCTGGGAACCAGCTGCTGGCTGCTTTTGGGGCACAGCATGGTCTGCGATGCCAGGGGAGGCAGGAAGCCTGTCTTAGCACCCTTGCTGCACTGTTGACAGGGAGCCACTCAAAGTAAGCCCCTCCTGCTCAGCCCTAACTCCACCAACACCCCAAAGCTCTCCTATTCAGCCCCACCTTGGAGCCCACATGCCAATAAAATTATGTTCGGTCATGGGCATAAAAAAAATGTTCTTCAACAGGGTCATGAGAAAAAAAAGTTTGAAAACCGCTGAAATAGAGGTCCCAACCCCCATCCCCGGACCAAATACCAAGGCTGCATCCCCAAGCCAGATGATTCGTCAAGAGGTAGGAAGAAAGGGTGTAGTATAGAGCCCACGGAGGAGGGCTTTGGGGGCAGGAAAGGGAGTATGGGGGCAGAGAAGGCCACAGAAGTGAGGTGCCTTATAATTTGGTGGGGTGCGGTCTATTCCACCCCCCAGGCAGGATCACCCCCTACAGACCATTCCAGTCTAGGACAGCAGGGGGAAGCTCTATGGGATGTGTTTGTAGGGAAGCTCTGCAACCCAATATCTTGGTTCTGATCCCATCCTTCCCCAGCCACCTCAGTCAACACATGCCCCCACCCGCCTCTGTGACAAAATGGTGAATAACACCCCAATGGAGGAAAACAGCCACGGAGATAGACTGCTATTGCTGTGCTTGGACTCTCCACAGCCAGACAAGACAAAGCCTAGGGATCTGGGAGGACCCAAAAACAACTGGGGATGCCTGGCTGGAAGCTCTATCCTGAGACAGACACCCCAGACGTACATGACCAAAGGATCCAATTCATCATCATGTGGTGGGCGCATGGAGTTGGGGCGCTGTTGGAACGCAGGGGAACCCCAACCCAGTCACCCATGAACCCCCCAGTCCAGTCTCTCCTCGGCAGATCCCATAGGGCAAAGGAGCAGAAAACAGTCCCCCCATACTGAGGCACAAATTTGCTTCTTGTAGCATGGCCCCAGCCCTAGCCCTCCGACAGCCTCACACGCCATCCATAGCCAGCACAGGGAATGCAAAGGGGTCACTCACCTTCCATCGTGTGCTCTTCTGCCACAAACATCCCCACAGACCGGACACACAGACACAGAAAGAGAGAAAGAGACAGGGTTAGTGAGGGCAGTGTGGTCACCAGCACAAACACACACTTAAAGATAAGTAGGAACAGTCTGTAGGGGCAATCCTGGCCCCAAGGGGATAGACTGTAGGGGGCCATGCTGCCCAAGAGCTGGGGAATTAGGCTGGAGGAGCACAGTGTCCCGAGTTCTCCAGCAATCCCTCAGTCATGTCCTACATTTCCCCATTGTGGGGTTCCCAGGGCAATGGGCAGGATGGGAGCCAAAGGGCCATGACGGAGGATTTCCACACAGAGCCCTTACTGAAGCCTCTAGCCTCCCTGGGATGGGGTTGACAAAGTCTGGGGTCCCAGTTTACAGACACTAAATTCTGCTCCCCCCATAAGAGTCCCAGTGACATTGAGGGAGGGGTCAGGGCAGGCAGGGGGTGACAGGCTAAACCAGTCATAGGAGGACAAGATTATGCAATCCAGAGCCCCCTGGTGCCCCTCACCCACCTACAGCCCCAGCCAGCCCAGCCTGGGCCCCACAAACCCAGCCCTGCCAGTGCCCCTCACCCACCCACAGCCCCAGCCAGCCCAGCCTGAGCCCCTCACACACACCCTGCCACTGCCTCTCACTTCTAGTTCTCGCAACATGGACCCATCCCAGCTTCCCACCAATGCTGCAATCCCCCACCCTCAAGTTGCCTGGGGAGGAGTATTTTGAAGGATCTGGGTTGGTTGGGCTTGTTTCAGAAGCTGCCTTTGATCCTAGCCTCTGGTCCCTGAAGAGAAGGCCCCTTTGATCACATAAACCCAACCCAGCTGCTTTGGTGGGACTACAGGACAGGCAGGAGCCCTCCTTGAAACAAGGCCAGGAATGCTGGAATGCCCCAGCTCTGGAGGGGAATGGGATTTAGTAGTTAGAGCACAAGATTTAAGAGTCAGGGTCCAGGGTTCAGAACAGGAGTGAGGCTGAGCCATGATTCCTGGGTTCTCTCTCTGGCTGTGGAAAGGGTGTAGGGCCGGCTGGGTGGGTGGCTATACAGCACCAGTTCTGACAGTGGGTGTCTGGGTATGATCTGTGGGGTTTGCACAGAGCTCAATGCAGGATAGATGCTTTCTGTTGTACATAAATGTTCTGTCACCAGCCTCTATCATTTCTTTAGTCCCTTACTGCCATTCCCAGACTCACTCTGTGAGGAAGCAGGAGGCTTTCTGGCACCAGGGCTACGATGGCAGAGAGCTGCAGGTCAGGGTTGAGGAGCACCAACTAAGGAGAGGGGGAGCCCAGGGCTGAGATAGCAAGGGGCTGTGGGTCAGAACTGGGGAACACCAGCAGAGCTGTGGGGAAGCCCAGAACTGGGATAGTAGGGGCAGCAGACTCAGGCAGAACTCCCCTTGTGACAACGAGGGCTGGAGTTTGTGGGGGCTGCAGAAGGGAAGGCTTTGTCTGAGCAGAGTGCGACCAGCTGTGCCCCCAGACACAAACACATGGGATAGGGCCCCAGGCTCCCACCCCTCAGCATAACACTTCCACTCCCACAGAACAGAGCAATTCATAAACAGGCCAAGGCAAGGAGCTCACAGCCAATGACAGGGGCCAGGAGGTTAACCACAGAGTCCTCGCCCCTTCCACACATGTACCAAAGGACCCTCTCCCACCCCCTCCCCCCAAATCCAGCTACGAGGACCAGGGACAGCAGGCAGGACAGCTAAGGGGGAGTAACACCGCCCCACATATGCCCCTCAGTCCCAACCTGCAGCATCCTGCCATCCCAGCCCTACACTCCCCCACCAGAGCCCCTCAGTCGCAAGCCTGCACTCCCCCTTCCCTGGCAGCACCCCTCAGTCCTGACCTGCAGCCCCGTGACCTCAGGCTGCATTACCCCCATATCTTTGCTAATGCTCTTCAGTCTTGACACACACTCTCTCACCCACCTCTCCACAGAATGGGGTGGAGCCAGGAATGCACCGATGTACCCCACATACCCCCAACACACTCCCCAGATATCCCCCACAACAGTCACCCTAATGCACCCCCATATACTCCCTACCCCAGCACCCCAGATGTCCCACTGACCACAATGCCTTCCAACTGGTTGCATGGCAGGGTGGGGGAGGGGTGCTGAGGCACCGGGTCCCTCTTGCTCAGTTATCACTAAGGAGGAGCAAATGCATGATTTCCATGGCAACCCCAAACAAAAGGCTGGCCTAGATGACATGGGCTCTAACACATGGGGGCAGGGGAGATAAAAAAAGGGGGCATCCTTAACAAACATTCTCCTCCCTGACACGCTGGTAGGAGCCAGGACTCGTGGTTCTATCCCCAACCCTGGGCAGAGAGTGGCGTCTAGTGGGCACCTGATGGCTAGGACACCTGGGTCCCAGCATGCCCTAGAATGAGACCCTTCCCCTCCTCTCCGCAGGGTGCACTGGGGGAAAGAAAGGGTCCATACCACCTATGGGGGGTCAGGCATTCCATAGAGCAGCCCTTGCTGGGAGACCAATGCCCCCTGGTCCTAGAAGCCTGCTGCTCCAGCAGGTCAGCCCCTGTTCAATGGGATCTGGGCCAGTCCCAGACTCTGCCCCTGCCCCACCCCATGCCCTACTGATGGGAGATGAGCCCATGAGTCTGGGACCTTGAAACTGCCATCAACTGTGGAATTTCAGGGGAGGGAGTGATGTGGAATACATATGCAAGGGAAAAAGGAGATAGCAACTCTGGGCATGCGCATGTGGGCCTGCCTGTCTATAGGTCTGTGAGGCATGTATGCCTGGTAGGTGTGGGTCTACCTGTAGGATGTGTGGGGGTCAGTCTGTGGGCCTCTGGGGTACATATTCATATCTGTGTGTGTCAGTTGGTCTGCAGAGTGTATGAACATCTGTCTCTCTGCCTGCAGTACAGCCCCCACAGGCATCAGACTCCCAGACAACCCATCCCCAATGTGGGGCTGGCATACACCTCACATAGTGGCTGCCAGGCAGCCCATTGGCACAGCCCAGCCTGCACAGGCGGACACCAGGACAGCAGCACTAAGCATGTTCGCTAGCAAGTGAGACAGGCAGAGCAATGGCACACAATGCTCGCTAAGGATATGTCTACACTGCGGCACAATTTCGGGATACTTCTGGTATCCTGAAATAGCTATTCCGCAGCTATTCTGCATGTTTTAAACAAGCCCATTATTTTGAAATATAACAGGCTTGCTATTCCGATGTCCCTGTAAACCTCGTTCCACGAGGATTAAGGGACATTTCGGGAGAGCGCTTTATTTCAAAATTTGGTGCTGAGTAGACAGTGCCAGATTCCAAACTAAGCTATTTTGAAATTAACTCTAAATAAGCTACGCAATTTGCGTAGCTCAAATTGCGTAGCTTATTTCAAGTTAAGGGTACAGTGTAGATGCACCCTAATAGTGTACAAGGGCCCATGCCCGCCCCGTACAGGGAAGGACACATCCCCACACCCACGTCCTAGGAAGCCCTCTGGAGCCAAATGATCAGCAATGGACATTGACCTGATGCCTGACCCCTCGCAATATGTTCCAGAGCCCCAACATCAGGGCTGAATCCCAAGCCTTCCAGCGCACTCAAAATGTATTCTAGAACCCCAACACAAGGGTCAAATCCAAGCCCTCCAACGTGCTCGAGATGTGTTCTAGAGCCCCTGCATTAGGGTTGAATCTAGACCACCCTAAAAGAACCCATTTCAGGGCTCACCCTCATACTCGATTTTCAGGCTACATGTGCTTGAAGTAAATGATGAACTCACAGTCCCTCCCTGCAGCCCCACCCCCAGTGTTCCTGCACAATGGGAATTCTCCAATGTGAACAATGAGCAGAGCAGTGGTGAAGCACAAACATGGTGAGAAAGCTGGTGGTCCACAAGCTTGGCTGGGTTGTATCCCACTGACCTTGGGTGAGTCCCTTGCCCACTTTCCCCCAGTGCCTCAGTTTCCCATCCTTCGTAGAGACTATGAGCTCTTCAGGGAAAAGATCATCTCTCACTATGTGTTCCGCAGCACCCAACAAGAGGCCAGATCTCAGTGACCGGAGGGTGGGGGAGCCCATTTTCTGTTGGGGACCTGGCCTTCTGCAGGCTCTGATCTCAGCTGGGTTGGGGGAGGGGTCTGTGCAGCACCCAACCTGCTGGGGGGTTCTGATCTCAGCCAGGGCAGGCAGATGCTATGGAATAAAATGACTCGGGAATTTTGTGTCATTCAAGGAGCGAACCTCTGCATTTTGTGCTGAGCCCAATCCACAGTGGGAGGAGGGATCGATCCCAAGCAAACCCCACCCATTGCTTACATTGCAAAGGCTTTCCCAGCAGCTCCTCTCCCTTGCACAGACACCCCTTGCTTTCCACACTGGCTACATTGGGCGAGTTTCACGCTCCCTGCCGGCTGCAGACAGTGGCACAGCTGGTGGGGGGGGAAGGACTCCTTAGCACCACCTGGTGGTGCCCAGCTGTTCAGCACAGGGTTCAGGCGGCACAAGCCATGCAGAAAAGCCATCCTCCCGAGGGGCATGCAGGCAGGGATGGCAAGCTCTCTCAACATCCTGTCTCCTGGCAGTTCTTCTCCAGCTGACCTTGGGCTGTCCTTGCAGAAGCAGAGATTGAGCACGGATGGCTGGGCCCGAAGAGCCTCCCCCAGCCCCCTGGAGAGACACACACGGGGGACCCGGGCCAGGCAGCAGCATGGCTCAGCCCAGCGCTTAGCACTCCCCACATGTGAACAGCGCTAATGGGAGCAGGTGGGGGCACCATGGAAGGAACGTCAGGTCCAGTGAGGAAAAAGTACAAGAGAGACAAAAGAAATGAATGAAAAAAAATGGGAAAAAGCAAAAAAGAAGAAAGAAAAGAAAAAGATGAAAAATGTGAATGAAAGAAAGAACAAGAATAGGGGGAAAAGAAGAGTAAAAAGGTATAAACATGAGTAAGAAAGAAACTGGAAACATGGCAGAAGAAAGAAAAGTCAACAGAAGAATA